CACCCTAGCACTTTGATGAATTGCATGAGCTGACACAGAACCAATTCCAGTCATATCAGTAGTAGTAGTCTTTACCAGCCACTTGTTAGGCCATTCACCATTGCTAATTACTGAGACATCAGCATCTGAATCAACTAATCCTGTAAAAGTTTGTCCCTCTATCATTAAAGGCATCATAGTGTAACAGGGTGGTCCCCAGGAAAGGGGGAGGTTCCAGGTTCCCTGCCCCACCCAAGGGAGGGTGGAGCTGAGCAGGAAGAGAAGAGGATGCAGAGGAGACTGAGGAAGGAAGGAAGCAGGATGGAGCCAGAAGGAGACCTGGAGGAGGCGCATGGAGCCTAGAGACACGTGAAGAAACTGCGCTTGTCTTTTGGTTGTGGACTGGGTGACACACATGTGGGTGAGACCCGTGGGGAGGTGACAATGACAGCTTTTATCTTGATGTTGATTTTGCTCTTTTCCTTCCGGGCTTGTCTGGTTGTTTCTGACCCTTTTTTGTGGGTCCCCACTGGAAGGTGCTTTAGATTTGTGGCAGGCTTTGGGGCCTTGCTCTGGGCCAATCCTGCTTGGGTGGAATTTTACCCACGAGGGGACGGGTGACTTTGGGTGCTTGATTTAGAAACTATATTCTTTGCCTTTCCTGTATTGTTTCCTAATTGTATTAAAGTTCCTTCTCATTCAAGTCTCATATGTTTTGTGTTGATGCGGCGGATGGCAAAACCCATTTAGTATAGGCAGGTTTGCGGGGTTTGGGCTGCTCCTCTTCCTGCCCTATAGCAATAGGACTTTCAGCCTTTTGTAATAGTTCTGACCAGTAAATTCCAGCAGTCTCCGTGCTGCTAAAACTGCCTTTTCTTTTAACTGGAGAATGACCAATAGGCACATGAGGAAGCACGAGAAATTGTGCAATTAAATCTCCTTTTTTAATTTCCCATGGAATTTTGGTGTCAGCCACCACTTGCAACTCTCCCTAGCAGTCAGAATCTATAATGCCAGGCAGTACATTTAAACCTTTCATATTTAAACTAGATTTACCTACAATAAGCCCCACATTCTTTGGTGGTAAAGGACCATAACACCCAGTGGGAATTTGTAAGGTCCATAGTTAGGGAGTAAAGTATGTCAACAGTGGAAATTAAATCTATTGCCGCACTGCCGGCGGTGGCGGGACTGAGTGATAAGACAGATGATTGGTGTGGAACCAAGCTTAGCCAAGGTTTCTCCATTTTGTATATCCTCCACCTTGATATGTTAGTCCTTGTACAGCCGCATTCCGGAGATAGTTTCAATAGTCACAACCCTCACTCCACTTGGTGACGAAAAAACAGACCACCCCAGCCGCCAATGAGGGCAGTCCTATCCATAAATGGGACAGCATCTCTAACCGTCCAATCAGTTTGAAACTATAACCGTGCGTGCCAAAATGCCTTTGTAGTAGCCAATGAGTAATTGCCAGCTTCTTTCAAAATTCGCGCTGCTCGGGACCCTATAATAGACCCCTGCTTCCTCCGTTCAGGGCTCTCGACCTCTGCCGTTGCATCGGTGCGTGTCGTGAGCCTGGATTCGAGCCCGTAATAAACTCCTTTATGTTCTTGCATCGGCTGTCTGTGTCCTTGGGGGCTGCATTGGTCGACGTTGGGCACAACAATTGGCTGTTTGCTGCATTATTGGGTATTGGTGCCTGTACTGCTGGTGGAGCTGTTGTTGGACCGGCTGTAAGAATTGCTGTCCCACATTTTCCAGACCTGAGACCGGCCCCTCAACCCGTTTCCCAATAGCATGCCATCTTTGTGATATTTAGATTTACAGTCTTTTAAATAATGAAATCCTTTTTGGCATCGGGGACAAATAGAATGCGGATGGGCAGAAGAGCCCTTTTAAAATGACCAGCCTGAGTGTAAAAGGGTGGTCCCCAGGAAAGCGGGAGGTTCCAGGTTCCCTGCCCCACCCAAATGGAGGGTGGAGCTGAGCAGGGAGAGAAGAAGCTGCAGAGGAGACTGAGAAGGAGGGAAGCAGGATGGAGCCAGAAGGAGACCTAGAGGAGGCACAGGATGCCTAGAGACACGTGAAGAAACCGCGCTTGTCTTTTGGTTGTGGACTGGGTGACACACATGTGGGTGAGACCCGTGGGGAGGAGACAATGGCAGCTTTTATCTTGATTTTGATTTTGCTCTTTTCCTTTCTGACCTGTCTGGTTGTTTCTGACCCTTTTCTGTGGGTCCCCACTGGAAGATGCTTTAGATTTGTGGCAGGCTTTGGGGCCTTGCTCTGGGCCAATCCCATTTGGATGGAGTTTTACCCACAAGGGGACAGATGACTTTGGGTGCTTCATTTAGAAACTAGACTCTTTGCCTTTCCTGTATTGTTTCCTAGTTTTATTAAAGTTCCTTCCCATTAAAGTCTCAGATGTTTTGTGTTGATGCGGCGGATGGCAGAACCCATTTAGAATAGGCAGGTTTGTGGGGTTTGGGCTGCCCCTCTCCCTGTCCTATAACAGGATGAGGGTGAAGGAGAAAATCGTGCGGCGGACCAAGAACATGCCTGAATTTTAAGAAATGGCTTTCCACATCCCTCCCCTCCCCTCTCCTGATCCCTGTCTCCCCACCCTCTTCTCAACTCCACTCTGAAGTTTCCCTTCCTGTCCTGCTCACGTCTGTGAGTCTGTCCCCTCCCACCCGCTAGCCCTCTTTCTCTCTGTGTGACAAACATTTAAAATATATATATATATGCAGGAAAGATCCCATGTCAAACAGTATGGCTTAAACATTTTTGTTTCTTGGTGTTGTTATGGCGAGTTTTTGGTAATGATGATCCAATCATTTTTGGAAATTCTTGCACTATATCCAAGTTTTTTGATCTGGTGCATGTGGCCCTGTGGAGTCCACTTTCCTCTCTATCTCTCTCTGTTCCAAGTGTGTGTGCAATGTTCTGTTCATCTGAGGAGCCCAAAATATCAAGTGAATTCAAAACCATTTTTCTTTTCCTCCTTTTCCATATGATGGAATGAACAAAAAGGAAAAAAATTCAAAAAATCCAGTTTGTTTTAAAAATAAATAAATACATAAATAAATAAAGCAAATGTGCCAATTAGCGTAACTTGGGGCTCTGAGCCTCCTTTTTCAATCTGAATATTAATAAATCATGAGAGTAATCAAAAAAAATTAAAAAAATAAAATGACCAGCCTTACCACAATTAAAACATTTTTTTATAGTTGTCTGTTGAATAGACGCTGCAGCCATCGAGGCCACAACTGCCTGATATTTTACACTGCCCACATCTCGGCACACACACAAGCATTCCAAGGTGTTAGTGGTGTCCCAAATGGGACGTATGGCATCCTGGCAATCTTTGTTAGCATTATCATATGCTAACTGTATTAAAAGTCTGTTTTGTATATCAGGATCACCAACTTGCTTTTGAAGGGCGTCTTCTAGACGTGAGAGAAAATCAGCAGATGACTCATCTTTTTTTTGTAATATTTTAGTATAACTAGGTGCAGCCGGGCCAGAGTTAATTCGAGTCCAGGCTGCAAGAGCAGCATCCTGAGTTTGTTTGAGAAACAATTGTGAAGCAGCATTAATTTGATAATCAATGAACAAAGCGGGCCCAGTTCCAGCTATAATATCAATGTTAATATGAGCCGTTTGCGGATCTCTAGCATTTTCTCAGGCAGTGGCATGAGCCTCCTCAGCAAACCACATTTTCCAATGCATATATTGGGCCAGGGAAAGAGTAGTTTTACAAACCAAATGCCAATCATGGGCAATCCATTATTCTTAGTCAGACCAGCTAGAAAGCATTTCCACACAGTACGGAGATGTCGGCCCATACAAGTGAACACTCTTTTTAAAGTCTCTCATAATTGATATTGGTAATCCTTCATATACAGATGCATTATTGTCACCCATCATTACAACTGGAAAAGACACGTAATATTCATGACTGGCCTTTATGGCCTTTTCCATGGGAGAGCGATTTTGTTTCCACGGGTCAACTCTTTTATATACAATTTGGGTGTATATACAATTTGGGTGTCGGTCGGGTCAGATTGCTATCTGTAACAGGACTGACCACTTTCTTTGTAATTGTTATTGTTGCTTCATTTTCCTTTTGTTCCTTTTTTGAACCCCATCCTTCACCCTTAAGATCTAATGCAATATTATCTTCCATGAGGACAACAGAACTTTCTGATAATTCAGATTCCTCCTGCTCAGTGTCAGGTAAAGGCACATCCTCAGGGCGTATTTTATGGGACCCTGCTGTTTTCATTTCCTCCTCCTCCTGAAGAGGGGCGGAGGGCCTGATTTGAAGCCCACAGGAATCTGAAGCCCCTAAAGTAAACTCTCTTAAATTCTCTACAGCTGGTTTTAAGTCCTGAGTGCTGTTTATGACCCTGCTTAAAGGGAGACTGTAACATTGAATATCGCTTCTCTGGTGACATGTTTGAGAAAGGTTTGGCAGGATTATTAATGGGAGCCATAGCAAAAGGCTGAACCCCTTGTTCACTCTTATTAGATTTTTGCAAAGGAACATCATCATCACCATCTTTTAAAGATTGCTGAACAGCTTGAGCTGCATCACAATCTTTCAAAGATTGCTGGACAGCTTGAGCTGCCTTAGCCAGAGTGTCATCATCAAGTTCATACTCATGCAAAGATTCCTGTGATGTTTGAACCAAAGTAACCATGTCTGGACAGAGTTTTCCATCAACAGCCAACATAGCTACTCTAAGCATAGCTCACATAGACCAAAACTTTATCCGCTCTCCCTGCTTATGTTTCCGAACCATCGTCTCTCGGACCCGGTCCCATGTTTCTATATCAAAAGCACCAGTATCAGGAAACCAAGGATTATATTCAGTAACAACATACAAACAGTCAAGAATTTGAGTGAGTGAGACTTTTGCCCCGTTTTCAGCTAATAAATGTTTCAACATATAAGCAAAAGTAGAAAGACGAGAAGAATGCCCCATGCTGTGATTTTCCCCTTGTTTACTCACCACCTTTTGTAAACTTCCACCCTCCGCCATTGTCATCTTGTCACTTTTAGTGGGAGGTCCCCTTCAGGTCCCTGTTTGGGCGCCACTTGTGGACTTCTAGTGAGTCCTGGACCTGGGACACGACTGTGAGGGAAATCAGACACAGGTGATTGTCATGTCCAGCATGCAGTGAATCTTTACTGTCTTAGTGCTCATTATATACTTTCTCAGAGTGCATTAGGCATAACACCAAAGCGTACCATATAGTGACAACTTAAAAGATTAACTATTTTACTTTGCTACTGATATCTGCCTACTGCCAACTTTTAAGTGTCAGGTGGTCAGCTCCTATATGTAATCTGATGGCTCATTAGCTAGAACAGAGGAGTTTTGCTCCTAATTGGTTTTTGGCTGTGGAGATACTGAGGCATGACTCTACGCAGGTCACTTTCTGGGCACTCAACACCAGGTCTGCTCACTCAGAGGTTTTCCTCCAAAAATGCATATGTTTTCACATGCCTTAGAGACTCAGGTCAAGGCCCTTCTGCTCACTGCGCAGGGTCTCTCCCAACACATGAAGTGCTTTTTTCACTTAATTTTATTTTATAATAAAATAATAGTTGTTACCCATTAAATTGATCACTAATATCCTTGAAACATGAGGCTAGAGACATACTGTTAGGCTCTATCCCCAAGCATTTCTCACTTGTTCCCAGAGGAGTAATTTCTCTGAATGTGGAGTTTGGGGGAAGGCAGTACACAGCTCAACCCAGGTGCTTCTGGACACTTTCCCAGCCCTAGCCACCTGTAGAAAGGATGGGTCGGGATGCTCCCTGTCTACCAGGAAGGGGCTGGCCCTGTAAGGTTAAGGTTAGCAGGTTCCCACTGGGCAGTTTCTGTTCTGGTTTCAGTACCTATCCCCTCTGATTGGTGGCAGTGGCATACTCAGCATTAATATTCTTAATACCACTCTTGCCTTTGCTTGATTTGTTGTGTCACAGACCTGGTGGGTAGTCTTATGTTTGAGGGGAAAATATATTTGGAGGTTAGGGGCGCCAACCCCCTGCTCAGTCTTTTGGTTCCCCAGAACTTGATTACTAATTAATAGTCTGCTGTAGATTGAAAGACAACATTAACATAAACAATCAACTAACATAGCTTGTATGTTGTATGTATTACACACAATAGTCTTAAAAAAGAATATATAAGAGATATAGAGAAAATACATTTATAGCACTGTACTCAGCAATACTATAAATTTCTATTTGTTTACAAGCAAATCTATCAGTGGACCCACACAGTTGAATGGTCAACTATAACAGCAAGTCTATTTTGGCTGACATCTAAGCCACTTTCTTCAATTCAGCATTTACTGACAACAAAGGTGATATTTTTCTTTCTTTTTTTTTTTAAGATTATTTATGCATACAAGAGCTGGAGTACAGGCCAGAGATGTCAGGGGTGAGAGGATTCACCAGAGACAGAGTGGGGAGCAGAACAGGCAGACTGACCAAAATACACTGCTGTGGGGAGCAGTGGGTAAGACATGTTTCGCCATGTGGTTTCTCCCTGGCCAGCCCGGGATGGAATAGCAGAGGCTATGGATCGCTTCATAGTGCGGTGCATAACCCTTTGCGCCACCAGGGAGGCCCAAAAGTGATATTTTTCTCTTCATTTAGCAGTCTCCTTAGTCTTCTCAATTTCAAACTTTGGAAGGGAAAGTGTTACTCTTTAACCTGCTGTTATGGACTACAAGCATGGGCACCAACAGTCATATATTGAAGCCCTACCCCCTGATGTGATGGCATTTGGAAACAGGGTTCTTTGAGGAGGTTATTAGATTTAGACAAGGGAATGAGGGTGGGACCCCATCATTGGATTAGTGTCCTTATGGAAGTAAAAGAAACCAGAGGTCTCTCACTGTCTGCCAAGTGAGGCCACAAGGTGGCTGTCTGCAAGGAAGAAGGCACTTATGGGGACACTGAATCAGCTAGCACCTCAATCTTGGATTTCTTAGCCTTCAGAGTTGTGTGAAATAAGTTTCTCTTGTTTTTCACCCAGTCTACAGTACTTTGTTAAGGCAGTATACCAAGTGTGACACCTGCTACACCCCAGCATTTAACAATGTTAGAAGATGCCAGAAAGTGAAGTATATCAAATGTTACCATCTGATATACCAACAAGAGGGTTGTTAGAGATGCAGGGGGAACAGATTCTCCAGGTGGGCACAGAGAAATGGGAATTGTACATTTTCCAGAAATGGGGCTGAAGTAAAAAGGAGAGGGGGGAGACCTGTATTCCAAGCGATGTGAGCATGTGTGGGTTGCCAGTAAATAGCCCGCTAAGAATGGGTTAGGAAGTGCAATTTTCTCTCTCTCTGTTAGCCTACAAGATGGCCTGGGTTGCTTACAATGAAAACACCCAACAGCCCCTCATGGAGTCCCCCTCTTAAGTACCTCAGGTTGTTGGGCCTGCTCCTCCTGGTGCTACTACACTTGGTGTCACTAAGGGTGACACCATACAAGATGGTCAGTTCTAAACACTCTGACCTCTGCTTCATCAGCGTGTGCAAGACGCCAGAAGAGCAGAATCAGGGAAGTTGCCAAGGGAGGGCAGAGGGTTCTATCAGGGAATCGAGTTCCAGTCGGGCCGCTGCATTCCAAAATTTGCTACCCCAAGGCCGTGCGATCTGGTCTCAATTTTTCCCCCAAGATTTTGAGGGAGGCCCAGAAGACAGATGGCTTGGGTTTGAAGGCAGACTGCACCAGTGCATTACGGTGCGACCTTGGGCAGGTTACTTAATCCCTGGGCCTTTGTCTTCCTCTCTATGCGGTACTGTTTTGAGGGGTAAAGTGCAGGCTCAGTCTTTCGCTCCGCGCCGTAACTCGCAAAGGGAGCGGGCGATCCCCAAGCTCCGGCCGACGCCCCCACTCCCGCCGCAGGGGAGCAGACGGCCCGTCGCGACAGCGGCGGTGCATTGTGGGGCTTGTAGTGTGGGGCTGGGGGCGGGTGGGCGCGGCCGCGGCAGTCGCAGCGGGGCCATCTTCGGCGGGCGGGCCGGCCGGCTCGGCCAGTGCAGCCGGCGTCCACGTTCCTCGCCCGGCCCGATGGCGCCGCGGCCGCTGGTCCCCTTGGTGCTGGCGCTGGGCGGCGCCGCGGCCGTGCTCGGCTCGGCGCTCTTCATTCTCTGGAAGACCTACTTCGGCCGCGGACGGGAGCGGCGCTGGGAGCGGGGCGAGGCCTGGTGGGGCGTGGAGCCTGCGCGCCTCCCGGAGTGGGATGAGTGGGAGGTAAGTGCCGAGCCTGGGCCCGCGCCTCCGCGCGAGCGCCCGGAGGGCTTGACCGCGGGCGCCTAGATCGGGGGACTTAGCCTCGCGGTGGGCGTGCGGCGGGGCAGTGATGAGCTGGGGAACCGAGGGCCAGGTGGGCGCTTGGGTCGGTGGGTGGCGCCGCCCCGCGTCGCCGCGGTCCTCGGGCTCCCTCCCCGGGGTGGGAGTCAGGAGGCGCGACCCCGCGCCGCTGCCGAGCCCGCGCGGGATCCAGCCCGCGCCCGTCCAGCGCCTGCGCAGTGCGCGCGGCGGGCGGCCCGGGGGATGCCGGGAAAGGTCGCGGACTCCGCCCCTTTGGCTTCCCGCATCCCCGCGGCGCGTGGCGGGGTGGTCTCTGGCGTCCTGCAACTGGGGGGGGATTGACAGTTTCAGGAGTCCGAGGCCCCGCGAGGGAAATAATTTGCCAGCGCTCATTCCGAGAAAACCTGAACAGCGGTGTTTAGGATTGAGAACTCCAAAGGCAGCGCTCATCCTACTGCCCCAAGCGTGCCTGCCTACCTGGGACGGGTGGAGGGCGGGGTCGGTACCTTGGGGCCTGGAGGATGTGGGCCACAGCCTGACCCGTGCCCCGCAGCCCCAGGACGAGGAGGACGAGGAGCCGGCGCTGGAGGAGCTGGAGCAGCGGGAGGTGCTGGTGCTGGGGCTGGATGGTTCAGGGAAGAGCACGTTCCTGAGAGTGCTGTCCGGGAAGCCGCCGCTGGAAGGCCACATTCCCACCTGGGGCTTCAACTCGGTGCGGCTGCCCACCAAGGACTTCGAGGTGGACCTGCTAGAGAGTGAGCAGATCGCCCCCCGCCCCATAACACACACGCACACACACACACACACACACACACACACACACTCTCACTCCATTCTCCCTGTCATCTCAGTTGCACCCAAACCCCAATTGATTCCCTGGGGGTGGCTCCAAAATGCTCACCTGAACCGGACTTGCTTGTGTATGAAATGCTTCCCATGCTTTTCCAGGCACAGAGTACAGTCCAGTCTCTCTCCTGACATATAGGGCCCATCATGATGAGGCATCTTCAGTTTGGTCACCTGCCCCACATCCCTGCAGTAGCCAATGTGCTTACCACCCACATGCTAACAGCATGACAAGCACTTGCCAGGCATTGCTTAATAAAATTTTCCCAAAAGTTCTTAAAACCAGAAACAGTCATCCTCACTGTATACATGAGAAAACAGAGGCACAGAGGTGTAGCAAGTTAAATAATATATTCAAGTTCATCTAGCATATCAGTCTGCTAGTAAAGATGGCCGTTAGTAAGCAGCATACTATATTACTTTTTTATGAAGGGTATTTGCCGTTTTCATCTGCCCTTTGCACACACTGTTCACTCCATCTTGAGAGCCCTTCCCTTACAAACTGACACTTATCCTTCAAGATTTATGTCAAATGTGATATCCCTGTGAGATTTTCTGCCACTGCCCCCCACTATCACCGCATCTCCCCAGGCTATGTTACTGGTTTCTCTGCATTATTTGGTACATAAAGCCTATGTCCCTGACTGGAGCCCAGCCAGAGCTGGTATCTGAGAGCAGCCCGCTGCGCTCAGCCCTGAGCTTCTCAGGAACTGGGAAGACGCTAGTGGAGAGGGTATTGAGAGGGCAGCAGTACTTAACCACCTGTGCCCAGTCGCAGACTCTGTAGGAAGGTGGGCTTCCTACTGGCCAAAGGACTTGGACCATGGGTTTGCTTTAGAGCCAAGGGTGGAATCAGACCAAGGATCTAGCTGTTGCCTGAGTGGCTCAGATCTTCTGGTCTCAGGCACTTGCTTGCTGACCTGTCTGGCTACATCTGTCCTTCCTGATTGTAGCAAACATTGATTCAGTCCTTTCAGCAAGCTTTCCCAGGCTCCCTTTCTTGTGCCAGGGGCACTTGAGCCCTCTCTGTCTGACGGAGACTGACTATACCCTCCCTCCCCCAACCCTGAGAAAAGAGTTACTGGTGTCTGACCAATAACAATCCAGGCCCAATAGGATCACTCCGCCTAAAATCAAACCCAGATCTCCCAGCCGAGTCCTGGGGCTTTCCTCCCACAACTCTTACTTTGCTGTGGTCTTCCACAATACCTAGCTGAACCCAGCCGAGGGCCTTATAGGTTGTTAATGACCCTTCCCTTCCCACCACCTCCAGTATCCATTTTATTAGCTAGTTCTGTCACCTTCAGCCTCCAATTGATTTCACATCTGTCCATGTCTCCCCACTTCGCCACCTACATGGTCTAAGCCACTGTTACCTCAATACTGCAACACACTCCTCACTGCTTTTCCCACATCCACTTTTGTACCCAGTGTCAGCCAGAGGTGTTGCTCAGAAACCCTATATCAGATCAGGTCACTCTCGCTTCCAACTCCTAAGGGGCTCCCCAAAGCCTCATTGTGGCCTTAAAGGCCCTGTGTGGTACAGCCATTGGCCAGCCTTGCCCATCAAGCTTCCCTCTCTCTCCATCTGGGCTACCTCAGCCACCCTGGCCACTTTCTGTTTCTCAGACTCTTCCATCTGCTGGTGATGTTTTGCTCTGCCCTGTCCGTGGTAGAGCCTTGTCACCCCAGACTCAGCTCCATTCCATGCCCCTCCCCCCCATTGCTTTCTCATACTTTCTGTTTTATTTCCATCCTTTCTGAAATGTGTTGATGTATTATTGCTGTGTCTGTTCTGGTGACGGAGGGAGCTCCTTGAGGGCAGGGCTCCTGCCTGCCTTGCTTACCTCTGTATCCCCAGCACCCAGATCAGCGCTTGGCACCTAGTAAGCACTCAGTAAATACCTGTTGAGTGCCTGCTATGTGCCAGGCATTGTGCTGAGGGCTTTGGGGGGATTCAGAGGTAGATGGCTCTAGCTCTCAAAGAGCTTAGAGCCTGCAAATATCAGAAGTATAGCCAGAAACACCGGGATGCAGGGTGACCAATGGGGACTGTACACAGGGACAGAGAGGAACAGGTTGGGGGCACTGTATAAGCAGGCATGTGGTGTAAGAGTGAGTATGGTGCTTCCATGGAAAGAAAGTGGGATGACCCAGTTACATGAGAAAAACTAAATGGAGAATGGCGGTGCACAGGCTGACAGGGCTTCCTGACCACAGCCACCACTGATCCAGAGTTGGTTAGGAATAGGCAGGAGGCAAGGCCCAGGAGGAAGAACCAGAGAGTACTGCTTATTGACCACCTGCCATATGCCAGTCCTATGAAAGGTTCATTGCATATGGGACCTTTGGGTTTTGCTGCAGCCTAGTAGATAAGCAGTGGCGCTGATGTTGGAAGGGAGCAACATGCCCTGGGACATGCAGGTCAGGGCTAGAGCTAAACCAGATTTGATTGGCTCTGGAATCTGTGGTCCTTCCCTTGTCGGGGCTGGCAGAGCCTTGGGAAGCCGGAAGTGGGTGAGGTTGGGGCTCCATGTAGAGAACCAGGACCAGGGAGGCTCTGAACCGGCCCCTGGCCTCTCCTCAGTCGGTGGCAGCCAGAACCTGCGCTTCTACTGGAAGGAGTTTGTGAATGAAGTGGACGTGCTGGTGTTCATGGTGGATTCGGCTGACCGACTGCGGCTGCCCTGGGCCCGGCAAGAGCTTCACAAGCTGCTGGACAAGGACCCTGACCTGCCTGTCGTTGTGGTGGCCAACAAGCAGGTGAGGGGCACTGGAAAGGGATTCAGGCCCAGGTCCATGTTGGAACCTTTGGCTTATATACTACCCCCAACCTCTTTTACCTATGCTCTTTCTCATCCCTCTCCTCTCTCTGCTTTCCACTTTGCCTCCCTGCCATCTTTCATCCTGGTGGAATGAGAAAAATCACTAAGTACACAGTATATACAAGGTGTGGTTTGAATGACATTCTCTGTTATGCTTCCATTGACCCTGCAAGGTACGGGATACTACTTCCATTTTACAGGTGGGAAGTTGCAAACTCAGAAAGCTTTTGTAATCTCCCCCAATTGTACACCTTGAATGTAGTGGAATTGGGATATCGAACTCCAAACCTATGTCTTTTCTACTCTGCTCTGGCCTCATGACTTCTGGCTTAAGTGACTAGGAAGTGATGAAGTTGAACAGACTAAATAAGAACTAAAATTTATTTTGTGCTTACAGTGTGCAGGCACAATGCTGAGCACCTGACAGTCATGGCCTTGCTTTCATCCTACAGAAAACCCACCATCAGCTTTGCTGTTACCCCTAAACTTTTGCCCAGATTTGGGCTCATGTGACAAAGCTAGGACTTGAATTCAGATCTTCCAAGTGCCCACTCTTTACCATTCTGCTATACCGCTTCCGGGTGCCAGGGAGCAACCTTCATCCTTGCAGACCTAGTATGGTATCCTCAATACCAGGGGAAACTGCCACAGTCCACAAGCTGCCATGTATCCTCCAGCCTCTGCCTGTGTCGCTGAGAGCTGCATGTTTCCTTGCTGCCTCAGATCCTGCAGTCTATCAGGAAATACCTGACCTTGTATAAGTAGGTGAACATCTGTCTCTGTTTATGCCTGTTGTCCCTATGTAACTAATAGTAGTGTCCACCTTGATTTCAGAAGTACCCAGTTTGGACAGTGAATAACTATCATTTATAATGATTGTGAACCTGCGGGAGACAATATCTAAAGCCCCAGCATTCAGTGCATTGCTTCAAGAAGAATCATTTTAACTTCAGGTTAGGGTTGAAGTAAAAATGTACCATCACAGCCATGCACTGTGGTGGCCTCTTTTTCTCCCTAGCCAGTGTCTAGGAATCTGGGGGAGTAAGGCCTTTGTCTGGATGTGACCCTGCTGTAAGATCTTTCTGCTGTTGAAACTTCCACCTATGAAACTGATCTAGGATTCCTAAAATCATCATGACCTTGGTCATCAGACCAACCTGAATCTGAAACCTATATGTTCCACTTAGCACTGAGTCCTTGGGTGAATCACTTCCCTCCCTAAACCAGTTTCCTCAGTTAAATGCCGATTGTGAGAATTAAAATACTAGGCACCTGTCACAATACTTGCCTTAGCAGAAGTGCTGTTTCTCACCACATTGGCCGGTGACAAAGTGAATAAAAGAGAGGCAGAGATAATACCAGAGGGCCCAGAAGCCAGTTCTAGGGACATAGGCCAGTTTTTGCCCTGGGGGAGCAGAAGAGTGGTTTCGTGGATGACTTGGGTGGGTGTTTGGGAAACACTGTCAACTCGATTCCAAATGGCTTCTGTTCCGCCCCAGGACCTGAGCGAGGCCATGAGTATGGTGGAGCTGCAGCAGGAGCTAGGCCTGCAGGCCATCGATAGCCAGCGAGAGGTTTTCCTTCTGGCGGCTAGTGTCGCCCCTGCAGGACCTGGCTTTGAAAACCCCGGCACCGTGCACATCTGGAGACTACTCCTGGAGCTTCTCTCCTAGGCAGCGCCTACCTGCTCACCCCAGCCCTGGGAACCCCAGTTCAGCTGCTCCTGCTTCTTTATGGCCTGGGCCTGGGGCAGGCGCCCCAGGCAGCATTCCCTTCTCCCCTCCTTTCCCCCCTTAAGACAGTGCCTGGGCCAGGCAGAGAATTGCACCAAAGCCCTCCTACTTAGGAGAGTGGCCCTCAGGTTGAAGCAGTAGTGGGTGAGGCCGATAGTGGGAGAAGGTGGTTGTCTAGGTCATTCCAACTAGAACTGGGTCCAGCTTTTGTCCCTGAAGGCATCCTCTGACCTGAACCATGAGCTTTCAGTGGGTTCCATTCTCCCCTCCCTGCAGGTGCTGGTGGTTGAGGACCAGTGTAGCTATCAGAAGTTTTCCCACGCTAGACTGTCCCCTCATCATGACTCCTTACACAGGCAGGTTCTGGACTCCCTGTCTGCATCATCCTACTGCCCCACCTCTGCCCAACTAGCTCGTGGCCTTGTGGAGTCTCTGCCTTGCTGGCTGCAGGGCCAGCACTTTTAAAGGGAGGTGATATCCATGTCTTTTCTACCTTGGGGAAATGTATTTTCCAGCCCTAGGACATTGGTGAAGGAGCAAGGAGCTTTCTGAAGATCTCCCTGCTTCCCCTAAACCCCGTCCTGGCTGGCCAGCCTCTCTTACCTACAGAATAAGTGGTATTCAACCCCTAATCAGAAAAAAAAAAAACTGGACTTTTTCCTCTCTAATCTGTAGACAGAAACTGCTGCTATTGCGCTAACTGTGCCAGTGCCCATGTTTACATTAGTCTGGGGAAGGAAAGAGCCATGTCCCTGGGAAGAACATCGTCCACCAGAGCAGGGTGTCGGCCTCGGACCTGCTTTCTGATTATTTATCAAGGGAACAGACCAGAGTTTTAGGCTCTGTTTCTAGGTGCTGTAACCAAAACCCTAGGTGATTGTTACGGGAAATTGGATCTTTGAGAAAAATAACTGGAATCACGAATGACAGTGTAACCTACAGGTATCAGTGGAGATGGAGCTCTGACTTCCCTCACCCACCTATAACTGGTACCGTGATACTTCTCACTGATGTCGAAGGGACACAAGTCTCTTGTGTAGAGGTAACAAACAACTCTGGGAGGGGACATTTCAACCGTGAATCCAGCTACAAAGAAATGGGATTTACAGTCCAGCCAACAGGATGTCCTTGGGTCCATCACTCAGCCTTTCTGGACCCGTAGGTTCCCCAGCTAAAGCAAAGTTGGATGGAGAGTCTGGCATTCTCTCCAGACTGCCTTCCACGATTCTCTTGTTTCCAGTCATCAGCCAGTGTGAAGATTGTCTGTGTTGACTCTTTAGTATAGGCAAAAGAAGGAGCCTTTTGTCTATCAGGAGCCACTGAATAATGAGCAGGCACAAATGGACTTTATACAGAAGAGATCTTCAACTCATTTTGCCTTTTAATTGAGAATAGAGATTCTGTGCCTTCATTTCATTTGACATTGACTGTACTTCAGTTCTAGGCTGTGACTGCGCTAGCAGAGGATCGGGGTGGGGATGTGGGCTGGGAAGCTTCTGGACTTGAGAAGTGAGCACAGACGTGGGAAGAAAAGCCTGCTGAGCTCTTGGGCTGCAGAGATAGGAATGGAATCCAGTTCTTTGAATGCTGATGAAACTTATGCATTAAGAAGTGATTTTTCTGCTTTTATTTAAAATATTTAAGGAATGACATGGAGTTTAGAATAACCTTTGAAACTGCTGCCAACTTTTCATTTTGCCATTGGAAGGTCAAGAAACGTGACTTCTTTGTCCTACAAACTCCACCCTATTCTCCAGTGCTTGAAACAGCACTGTCGAGGGAGGCCCTTCATTCTAATTAAGATCTGCCTTTGACCTATTAAGTATTATGATGTAGTACAATTTTAAAGACCCCAGTGATGGGGAGGTGAACTTGAATAGAGTTTAAGTATATCTACTAGAGGAACTTTTAAAAACCACTCTCAGAGTTGACAGGTCCCAGTGGCTCATGGGAAACACCTGCCACTGAAGGTGTGGAAGATCGCGCACCATCCCTCCAACACTTAACTTGTGCAAGAGCATAGGCCTTCTGTTGGCCTGTGGAGTGCCTCACCAGGTTTGTGGCTGACAGCTGCAGTCCTCTGTGGGGACTGCTGGCCCATTCTCCAGGCAGAGTGCCAAACAGTGCCCATCTGCTCTGGTTTCTGCCAGGACTAGACTGGCCAAGCCTGTGCGGGGGTAGGGGTGAGATGGGGGTGGGGGGGGTTAGGGGCGGAGGTTGTGGGGTGGGGGGGCTGGTAAGAACAGCTCACCACTTGCCTTGTGCTACTCTTACCCAGTTGCTCCTAGCCCAGATCACCTGCCCTTGGGAACCAGTCCCATGTCCTGGACCTGTGCATCACAGAGTGCGGTCCCTCAGCTGGCCTGGGTAAACCTCTGTTATCCCCACTACGCTCTACTCCCCAGCTTCCTAGTCAAGTTTGGTCACAGGGAGTGAATGTGAGAGCAGAGGTAGCACTGACCATACAGTGTCCATGCCAAAGGGAAGCCTTCACCCCTACTTGAATTTGTACCTGCACTGGAAATATTCTCGAGAGTTAAGTGAAACCCCAGCTTCCGGTTTTCCCATCTCTGACCTATTGTCATTCCTTTTGAGGAGAGGCTAGCTGGGCCCAGAGTTTGGACATGTAGATAGTCTGAGCAAGAGAGCTTTTAAGTTTAAGATTGCTGGCCCTGAACTGGCTGCCCACCTGCCCAGAACTGCAGGTGTTGGGCTTGTGCTGACACACTGGTATCCAGCTCTAAGGACCAGGGAGGAGGTAAAGTTGGTCCATCTCAGCCTCCTGGTCCTTTCAGAGAGGTGCTGATGAAAATCTTTACCCTGACCATCTGCCTGGATGAAACACCAGATTCTCCAAAAAATGTTTCCACTTGCCTTTGAAAAACATCGTATTCTTGTGCTAGTTTAGTAGCAACTGCCAGCATTTTGAACCAGCTGCTAACTTCTGTGGTGTCATATAGCTGCCTCAGACCTCAGAGAATCTTGAGTGGTCGGCCCCTGATTGGCTGGCTGTTCACATCCTCAAAGCCCTTTCTAGTCACTGTGGAAAAGGGGATCTTCAACTCTTCCTCATCTGCTGCCTCCATTAGATGGGCCCATTGAGGCCCAAGGAGAGGATTCCATCAAAGATCTGGAAGTAAAGGGACCTGCTTCTCAGCCTATGCCCTGTGAAGCTAGGCCTCAGGGTTACCTTGGAACCAGCTTTGTAAAACAATGTCAGTGGCTATTTGAGGTAAACAATAAATGCCAAAAACTCTGATGTGGTTTCAACTGATTTTGAAATGTGTGTTGGGTGCTTACAGTCTCAGTAAAGGGGAGCTGTGGAGGGTGATCCCAGATCATCTGACACACAATGCCAGACAGCCGGTCCCAGTCCCATGGCCCTTGGGTCCAGAGTGTGGGGTGGTAAGAAGCAATGGTTTTGGCCTAACCAGTAGCTTAGGGGGGAGATAGCCAAACTATTCTCCATGTGCACCTCCTCACCAGCTATCAGAATGAGGGCGCAGAACCATGTGTCCGCTGTTCATAAGCACTCCCCCAGCACTTGGTTAGGCCCAGCTCTAGTTCCAGACAAGGCCCTGCACCAAAACCCAGTCTTATAGGGGGTGCCAAGCTGATGAAGAGGCAGTTATGACTGAGAGAGAAACTGCCACAGGAATTCTGGGGTCTACTGGACACACAGCCAAGGGCTAGGGGAGAGGTATGGAAGGCTTAAAGGTGGTACTTGAAGAGGACAGCCTAGTCAAAGGCCTCAATTTGGAAGGTAGCAAAGGACAAAAGCATCAAGGCCACCTAAGACAGGCCCTCGGAGCCTTGCAGCTAGATCCCAAGCCTGTGCTGTAGTGCTTACACTGGTTTCTGGGGCCCTCCCAGCCCTTCCTGTTTCCAGCCTGCCTTGATGGTGTCAGTTGATAGGCTGCCTTCAGAGGCCAAAGGAGAGGATGACAAGCTAAAGCCTAGGATTAGCTGTTGAGACATGACTTCAAAACCCACATTGATTGCTCTCAATTTCCTTACCTTTGGTGAGATTAAAATCACACACAGTATAGGATTTTCCATAAAGTGACCTATATAAAAACACTAAATCCTTTCAAGGGCAATAAGGAAAAACAGATTTTAGGTGCTTCTAGAATAAATGATGAAAACAAGGCTTTATATTCCGAGGACACAGCCTCAATACTTACAAAATGACCAGGATCCACCCTCCCTTTGATCCTCTTCACATTTAACACCCAAGCTGGGAGGCCTGCCACAGAGCATGGCCTCCAGTATAGGGTATTCAGTGGTCTACTATATGGTCTCAGGAAGCAGGTCTGGGGCCTCAAGCTCCCTTCAAGCCAAAGCCAACAACAGCCACATGAAAATGAGCAGCAAAGGGATGAAGGCAGACTGGGAGGGAGGGGCCATACAGCTCCTCACCCTCTGGCAATGAAAGCCCAGCTGGCCTCAGGTAAAGTAGCACTTGGCAGGGCAGGCCCTTCCAGGCAGCCCACGGTTCCTGGTAGGCTTCCATGGAAGGGTTGACACTGCAGGAAACCAAGGCAGAGCAATGGAAGCAGAACGAGGGAGAGGAAGGCTGTGCCTAGGAAGGCATGTGAATGCAGTACAGTCAAGGGCTGGCTGCACTCCCTGCCCTGGTCAAGTGGCTTTTTTTTTAAAGATTTTTTTATTTATGTAAGAATTGGGGTACAGGCCAGAGGTGTGGGAGGGTTAGAGAATTCACCAGACAGAGCAGGGAGCAGAACGGGCAGGCAGACTGAAGACACTGCTGAGGGGAGTAGAGGGGAAGGCAAGAGAGGTCTGTTGCACCATGTGGGTATCTCCCTGGCCAGCCGGGAATTGAACCCGCGCTGCAGAGGCTGCGAGCTTCATAGTGCTGTGCTCAACCCACTGCACCCCGGTGGGGTCATAAAAGCCCAGTCAAGGGCTTTTATGGGGCAGCCCCAAGACTTGGCTGAAGGAACAAATACAAAACCACCTGAGAAGTAAAAGAGCCTTGTTTTATTATGTACAGACTGTAGTCAAAACAAACCACCCACCCTGAAACAGCAGCTTTTCCCAGAGCCCCCAGGTTATAAATTGGAGCCTGTGAGAGTCAGCTCATTTCCCAGAGAGGGGAAAATGTGTCTATCTTTTGGTTTCATAGGGTTTGGCCAGCCTCATCTGTAACCACACACTCTTCCTTGCCTTAAACCCTGTCTCCAGCTTCACGGGTCCAAGAGGAGGCCTCAGTCTGGGAAGGCATAAACCAGTCACTCCACCTCCATCTTATTCTTCTGCAAGGAATCCACAAAGGTTTGCCACTCTGCCGGGTAAAAACGTTTATAGACGTTGATCTTATTCCGAATCTGTTTGGGGGTATCTTGATAGTAATTCTTCTCATCTCGTGCCATAGCCTAAGAAGGAAAGGAAGAAAGGCCATTTGAGGAGGGCTGAGTAGACAAAGGTTCAAATTCCACCTTTGCCTGAGCTGGGCAAGTCCCTCACCTCAAAAACAATAGTGTATATGGAGGGCCTCCCCGGTGGTGCAGCGGTTGAGCGCTGGGTTGCGAAGCTGCCCGCAGCCTCTGCAGCACCGGTTCAATCCCCGGCTGCTCCCCAGCCACCGGAGGAGGGTCCCACATGGCGCGCAGACCTCGCCTGCCGCCCGCTGCTCCCCTCAGCAGTGTACCTCGGTCCTTCTGCCTGCTCTGCTCCCCACTCTGGCTCTGGTGAATTTTTTTTTTTTAATATTTTTTTTTAAAGATTAATTTATTTATTTATACATACAAGCACTGGGTACAGTCAGAAGCGCGGGAGGGTGAGAGAATTTCTGGTGAATTCTTTCACCCTCCCGCGCTTCTGACTGTACCCAGTGCTGTATAAATAAATAAATAAATAAATCTTTAAAAAAATAGTGTATTTGGGGAAATAGAAGCAAATGTCTCACAGACGAGGGAGGAGGTGGGGCCAACTGTGCAGCTCATGCTCCTCCCATAGTCCTCTATGGGGGTCCAGTATAGCCAGATCTCTCTCTTTTTAAAGAGAAGTCAGAAATATGTACTTCTATTTGAAATCTCCCATAACTACAATGGCAACTAGTACAAGTTCTTTAAAAACACCATGCAAGCAAAACACCATTATCTCTGGGATATGACCCACAGGCTACCCAGCCCATCCTAGCTGTGAGCATTCTGACCATGGGATCCATTTCCAAGTCTCTTTCTCCCTTTGTTTCCACTCAGTCTCAGGAAACACTCTAGGCAAGCGGATCAGACCCCAGTGATCCAGGCCACCTTCCCAAAGAGCCCAAGTGGTTCTTCCTATTGGACCTGAGCCACTCACCTTATAATCCTCTCCATGGTTCTCTACCATGTATCGGACATAGTCAATGAGGTCCCGAGACAGTGTATTGTCTTTCTTTTCTGGGAGGCTGGCTTCTGCCTCCAGGTCTGGGATGAGAAAAACCAGGAGACAGGAGGTGAGGCTTGGCTTCCTGCACTACTTGAGCTGCCCTGTCACACCTTCACCCAGTCCCAAGCCACGAGAGTTGCCACCTCAGCCACCTGATGAGTTTTGCCTCTTCATCCCCAAATTCAGTGCTAGAACCTTCCTCGTCAGCCCCTCAAGCCCCAAGCTCTGCCTATTACACAATCAGCATCTACCTGAAAGGCAAGTCATCTCTCTTTGGGCCTAAGCTGGGTAAAAGGCAGACACCAAACTTATCTCTACCTAGAACCAAGTGCTGGAGACAGGGAGATGAAGATACACTGCACAGAGGGTAGGGATCCCTTCCAGCTCTGAAACTCCTGGAGCTCTTTTCTTGAAGTGTTGTAACAATAACGCTTGAGATGGAAAGGTCTGATAAATGAGAACTAGAGCTTCAGAACCAGGGCCTAGGCATCTCACTGTTCCATGTGAGAGAAGCAGCCAAGCTATGGAACCAAAAAAATAGCTTCACTCTTCCCCATTTCTCATCTATGAAGGGAGAAAAATAGCTACCTCACAGAAAAGACAGTCCAATTTTATCCAGGCAATAAGTGCTAAAAAACTGCTTTACAATCAAAACTACCTTTGACTTGGTTGCCAGGGCTTGGGGAGAGAAGTCTGGAGTTGTTTAATGGGTACAGAGTTTTAGATTTGTAAGATGAAAAGTTCTAGGCATCTGTCGCATGATAATGTGATTATACTAATATTACTGAGCTATTTAAAATGTGTACATTAGAAATGACGGGCCTCCGTGGTGGTGCAAGGGGTTAAGCACCGCACTATGAAGCAACCCGCAGCCTCTGCAGCAAGAGTTCAATCCCCAGCCAGCCAGGGAGAAACCACATGGCGAAGCAGACCTCTCCTGACTCGCCCGCTGCTCCCCTCGGCAGTGTGTTTCATCAGCCTGCCTGTTCTGTTCCCCACTCTGTCTCTGGTGAATCTTGCACCCCCCCTTCCCCCCGCCCCGCCCTGCATCTCTGGCCTGTATCCCAACTCTTATATGCATAAATAAATCAATCTTAAAAAAAAAATTACAAAACAAATCCAAGAGGAAGGGCCTCCCCGGTGGCGCAGGGGTTGTCTTAGCACTATCAAGCTATCACCAGACACTGTGGCATAAGTTCGATCCCCTTTAATCCCTTTCGATCCCCAGCCAGGGAGCTACCCACATAGCACAGTGGACCTCTCCTGTCTCACCTGCTGCTCCCCTCAGCAGTGTATTTCAGTAGATCCACCTGTTCTGCTCCCCACTCTGTCTCTGGTGAATCCTCTCACCACCCCGCACCTATGGCCTACACTCCCATTCTTGTATGTATAAGTAAATAAATCTTTTTTGAAACAAAAAATCTCAGAGAAAGAATGGGTGGAGAGTTTACTCTCTTCTGTTAAGAGTCAGAATATACATTAAATTGATTTGTCAGTGGGAAGATTAAATGACATAACCTCTAAAAAATCCATTCATCTTTAAATTCATGAGAAAGTGAATGCATGCTGTACTGTGTTATGTGTACTGTGTTCTATCTTTTTAGGCACCTGGCTAGATCCTTACTGATTATCACTAACCTCACTCCAAACACCTGAGTCTAATCAGTAGACTGAAAATGTCCCAGTTGGGGACATGGTCCTAACTCTGTGAGCCCTGAACCAACTCACTTCTTCCCTCCAAACCTTGGTTTCTCTGTTGAACAAGGATATCTGAGGGCCTTTCCAGCACAGACCCTGCAGGGCAGTGACACAGAGAAATGTGGCCCATACCCACCATTTAGCACATAAGGCTTCCGCACAAGCACTTTAGGTCCCTCCTTTATGTCCACTTCCATGGCCTTCACCTGTAGAGAACAGAACCTGTGAGACCAGTAGACGAAGGATCCTGGATGAAGGAAAAAGCTAAAGGCTCCTTTCCATCCCAACACACTGCATTAGTCATAAGAATGCCTGCCCAAGGTCAGGCAGGAATAAGTGAGGCATTAATCGTTCCCCAAAAGAGACAGGTGAGCAATCCTTCTGTGCCCTACAAAATGGGCATAATACCACTTTTCTGTTTCACTTCATGTGCTAAGTGAAATAACACACATAAAAGCAATTTACAAGAAGGAGATGTCAGTTTGGAGATCAGCTTCGCATTTGTTCAGGAGATAATAGTGTCATTCTCCTCAGGCAAGAAGAGGTAAAAATAAGCCTGGCTTAAAGTCCTATGAAAAATTCAATCAACAAACCGATTACAGGCTATTTATAAACATTTACAATATCCTAAGCCATCACTGGTAATTTAGTAGTGGACAAAACACCAAGTCCTTGTCCCAAAGGAGATTATGTTGGGGAAAAGAAACGCAGACAACATGTAACAGGTAAGTATGTAAAACACCAGGTATTTACAAGTGCTACACATTAAAATAACTCAAAGAGGAGGTTTCTGAGTCAAGGATACTGTTTTTGAAAAGCGGTCTAGAAAAAGGCTTATTCAGGAGAAACTGGATCCTAGGAGGCTTCAGACCAAGGATGACTGGGTGACGGGAGTGGGGGGTGGGAGTGGGGGTGTGGCAAAGTGTAAGGAAAATTGAGATCCCAAACTCTAGGGAGTCCTTAGTAAAGAGCCCTATACAGGTTGATTTCAGAGGGAAAAGATGAATGGGGAGTGGACTCTAACCCAGGTCCACGGTGTGTAGGGCAGCGTGACGTAGGAAACAGTGGCTCAAGTTCTGAAACCTAGCTAAGAATGGCGGGGGGAAGAAAGCAAGGATTTGGGCCCTGACAGGTCAATACCTTTCTCTTACGAAGGGGCACCGCCCTGTTGGGGTCCATGGCCAAGCCCATCTCGGCCAAGTTCTGACGCACGGATTTGGAGTGGTCCCAGGCATGTCGGATGTGGGAACTACGGGCAAAGACAAGGAGCCTGAGGAACCGCCACCCCGCTGGCCGCCCGGCGGAGGAACACACCAGCCTCCAAAACCCTGGACCTCTCACCACTCGATCCGCGGTGCGGCCTTTCGTCGAGCGTTCCGGTTCAGACGCTTCCGGTTAACATTGTAACCGAACTTCTGCCTCCGGGTCTTCCCCTTGGCCTTGGGCATCGCGTGGACCACGGCACCGGCAACTCAGACTCGATGCCTCTTGCTCACAGCACCTCGTGTGGCAGATTCCTTCCTGCCGTGCGCCTGGGAAGGCTTGGGAGGATTTCTGGGAAGTGTAGTTCTCCCAGTAGCGGTACCAAGCTGGGTACTACGACTCCCAGAATGCAATGAGCGATTGCGCGTGCGTACGACGCTCAACAAACTCCCTTTCTCCGCCCCATTCATGACTTCATCAGGAGGCGGAGACTTGCGACCCTCTTTCCTCTTGCTGCTGTTACTCCGACCATGGCGACTCCTGGCCGTGTGACTCCGGAGGCACCCTTTGACCCATCGAAGCCCCCAGTTATTGAGGGATTTAGTCCTAGTGTGTACAGCACTACAGAAAGTTTCAAGGAAAAATTAATTCGCAAGACCCGCGAGAACCCAGTGGTCCCCATAGGTAAGCGGGTGCTAGAGGAACTGTGGGTAGAGAGGACAGTGATGTCGGGGGGAAGAAATAGGGAAGGACTGGGAAGCCAGTGGGGACCTGAATTGCTAGTGACCTGGGAGGAGGCGGAGGAGCCGGGCGGTGAGGGGCGAACCTGATTGGAGCAGGAACTGGGCGGGGTTGCGGGGCTCGAGTGGGGGAGACTTTAAACTCGGGGGACCCGGCTTCGACCAACCGCTCTGACCTTATACGTCCCTACCTGCCCGATCGCTCCTCCCCCACCCACATCCACCTTCCCCTCAGCCGCCATCCGGTAGAACTTGACAATGAAGAAGAGGAACCCCTGAGGCTGGACCTGCTACTCCCCACCTGCTTTGTCCCTTCCTCAGGCTGTCTGGGTACCGCGGCCGCCCTCGCCTACGGCCTTTACTGTTTCCACCGTGGTCAGAGCCATCGCTCCCAGCTCATGATGCGCACCCGGATTGCCGCCCAGGGCTTGACGGTCGCAGCCATCTTGCTGGGTCTGGCTACATCAGCTCTGAAATCGCGATCCTGAGCCGGTGGCCTGGTCTTGAAAGCTCCAAGGAGATCATTCCCAGCCCCAGGAGCAACCCCTAGTTCTGCCACTGTCACGGGTCAATGGGGGAGAGACTGATTTTTTTCCCCAGGAATCTCAGATTCGGTTCAGTTCGGATGGTGCATGTTTCTGTTTGTTCCGAACCTCCTCCATTTGCTACTAATAAATCCTGAACCAGTTGTAGTTTGGTGAACTCATTCTCTGTCTCAGCCCCATAGTTTTGATGTTCTGGTTTTAGAGAGAAACATGCTAAGGACTGGTCCATAGAAATCATGCAGTCATCATTCCCAAACTTTCCTGGTGACAATCACTTTGTTAGATGTAGAGATTCCCAGGTCTCTGTCCTTGAGATTCTAGTTCGTTGGGTCTAGAGTGGTGCTTTTTAGGGGGAAAATTACCTTTCCAGCAACTTTGAAAAAGTTGAACTCTCCTTCAGATAAGGCTTACCATGGTCCTGTCAGAGGCAGAGAACTCTGCCCTCAACTCTGCATCTGCTCCTTACCATACTTCCATTTCCTGAGAACACCTAAGGCACCAGTGTACCTAGACCATCCCAGCTTGGTGCTTGAGGAATCTTACAGAACAGGAAACAGGCTCACAGAACGTCCTGATGTGGGAAGAGCACAGTCCCAAAGTTTGCCAATGCTTTATGTGCCTAGTGTTTTAGGGTCAGGGAAGAAAAGAGAAAGCCGGGAACCTGGGACCTGAGCAGACACTAGAAGAAAGACAACCTGTGAGAGTTTCAACACGTGTAAAATTTCAAACAACATTCCCGGTTTATGGTTGGCTCTCCTCTAAATGTTGTTTGGATCCAGGCCTCTTCCCTGGGTAATGCCATCATTTTCAACACAAACCCGCTGTAAGGTAGCAGAAGGGAAGAGGGAGTGAAGAAAACACAATACTTTGTGAGGTCCCTGACACAATCTAGTGAAGGAGTGGATGACTACAGCCAAGGAAGTTCCCGGCACCCACCATGGTCTCTCATTTATAAGGCAGAGATGGCTTATAGAACAACACTTTGTGACCCATGGCCTAAAGATTCAAGGAGCAGACATGCAGTGGTGAGGATTGTGACACTTCAAAAGAGAATTACTACTTTTTACTACTGTTGGTGTTACTGTGTCCCCTAACAAGAATATACTAAAGTTCTAACACCTAGTACTTCACAATGTGGCCTTACTATTTGGAAATAGCGTCTTTACAGACATAAGTTAAAATGAGAGCATTATGGTGGATCCTAATCCAGTCTGACCAGTGTCCTTATAAAAAGGAAATTTGGACACAAAGATACAGAGGGTGGTTGACATAAAGATGAACTCCAGATTATAGTGATGCATCTACGAGCCAAGGGCAGGCTGCCAGAAATAAGAAAGCCCTGCAACATGTCCCTCCCTAGAATCCTCAAAGGGAACATGGCCCTGCCTACACCTTGATTTCTGACCTCTGACCTCCAGAAGAGTGAAATGATAAAATTTTGTTGTTCTAAGCCAGCCACTCTGGTACTTTGTTATAGCAATTCTAGGAAAACCGTCAGTTGGCAATTCATTTTTTTTTAAACACTGTGCAGGTGACAACAGTTCGAATGTAGCCTGTCTGCAGAACGCAGTCTGCTGAAAGGAAAGAAGGTGTGGTCACTGTTGTTAATCTCATGTCCACAGGTGGGTTGATGAAATCAACTGTGGACATGAGAAGGAGGGAAAAGTTGATCTCTTTTCCACACCATAAGGAAAAGAGTCTGGCAAAGGCTACCATCTCCAGTCTCTCGCTACGGTTGAAAGGGAGCCACCACCAGGACTCTGTCTTGCTGCTTCTTTCTTGCTTCAAGCTACTTACCCTTTGGGAGACTTGGTGTCCTTGTCTATATGATGAAAACAACAGAGCCCTATCTCAAGGCTTGTTCAATGATCCAAACTGATCAAGGGTACAGAAGCCTCTGTGAGAGGTGTTCTTTCCACCTGGGAGTGGAGGCAGTAAACAGAGACAGTGGTGGATACCCACTTGCGACTGGAGGCCCTGAGTTTCTGGGCAGGAGTCACCATCCCTCAAGGCCACCAACCTGGGAAAGTTCTAAGCACAAACTGAGCCCTGACACCAGTTGTGGCTTCCAGAGAAATGAGAATGGTAATAAATAAGTGTAAAAAGAGTTAACAACACATCCTTTAAGCCAAGAAAAAAAAATACATCAGGAGGGACAGTCACAATTTTGTAGACTGAGAGGAGGCGTGAGTGGCTGGGCCAAGGGCCAGGAGGGAACGAAGGGTGAGTGGGTGAGGGGTCCCTTTCCCAGCCCCAGGAGATGGGGAGGATCTGAATAGGCTGTGTAGCAGCTGCCAGAGGCCGTTTCCACCCTGGCTGAAGCAGCTGCTGCTCCGTGCCGAGGACAGCCCATGCTTTATGGCCATGCTTGTGGCAGGCACCTAGCGGGACAGTGGCGTCTGCTTCAGGGACATGAGCACCGAGCGCAGGCGGGACACATCTTTGCACTGCTTGCTGCTCTTGGGGTTGAAGTCACACAGCTGGGCAACCTTCTCCCACTCCGTGCCTGGAGTCTCCTCCTTGGATTCCTTCACGAAAGCCTCCTCAGAGGCCCTGCAGGTGGAGATAGGACAGTGGTTTCACAGCTGTCTGCCTTTCCCCTGAATCAGTGATGCGCCAATTCCACAGAGCAAGGCTGCTTTGCCCATCCTGCTCTGGGGTCTATTCCTAAAGGTTTCTTCCCCAGACCTGTGCCCTCTGACTTCAGGCCCCCAGAAAAGCCTTGCCATCATAGGAAGCCTACCTTGGTCCTGCCTCAGGCCCTTCATGCTTGGTGTAACCCCTTCCTGGAATGCTCTTTCACAGACCTACTTATGGATAGATGCTTTTTGTCATTCAGGTCTGAGTGCAGCTTCACCTCTTTACCACGATAAGCCAAAGTAGCCTCCACCTCCCCCAAACCTGCCCTTGCAGCAGTCCAGGCACTGCGTTCATTACCTCTCCATCAGGAGCTCTCAACCTGGGGCTCCTGACACCTAAAGGCCTTTAAGAGAACTATGTAATTCTTCAGCTACTTTCAACACTTTCAAAAATTTGACATTGACTAACCAACCCAGTCTTGCCTCAGTGTTCTATAGACACTATCAGTATTCTCCAGAAAAAGGGCTGTGGTCAAATATGGATGGAAAACCAATCAAAGAGGATCTTCTAAGCAAGACTTTCAAAGTCCTCGGAGTGCTAATGTGCGTGGGGACCCACCACAGTGAAGGAGGCAAGCGGTACAGACTCTACTGCACCCCAAGCATATCTGATGACATAGCCCAGGATGACTATGATCTCTATGGAGCTACAGCCTGAGGAATGCTCCCATGAGGGGCCGGGGATGGGGGTGGGAGGGGCTTTGGTGGGAATCGAGTTAGAATGAGAACTGGTGATTTCTTCATAATTCTGCTTGACAGTTACAGAAGCCACAATTAAGGAACCAGGAAGAAACAAAGTATAGTAAATACAGTTAAGTGGACACAATCTAGTATGGGACTCGTTGAATGACTTAGGTGTGAAGACTGGACTGGGGCCTGTTTGGTCAGCAAGGGCCTCTGGAAAGCCCCTTTCTCCTTGGAAGCATCTCAAGCAGGACCAGTTCTGCAGCTGCCAGGCACTGGTCAAAGGGAGGGAGCTCTCTAGGGGATCCCCACAGGCTGCGCCAGGATGAACTGGCTTATCTGCTGTGTGCTCATTTCCTGAAAAGTGAGGAGCCACGCCTCCCCTTCATAGCTCTGCCTCACTGGCTCAGGAATCTAAGGAGGCAGCAGGAGTGTGCAGGCTTGGGAGAATGTGCTGTGTGGAGTCAGCTGGCTGGTGAAGATGAGGGGTGCTCTTCTGGGGCAAGAGGCTCCAGTCTTGCTGATCACAGAGTGGTGCCTGGTCCGGTGGAGGTGGTGGCGCCACAGGAGAGCTTGTTAGAAACGTGTGGCCTCACTCAATCCTACTGAATCTGAATTTCCATTTTAACCAGATCCCCTGGTGAATCTTGGGCCCAGGGAAGTCTGAGGAGCACTGCTCTAGGCTCTCCCTCTCTGCGGGACTCTTGACTGCTCCTTAGGTCATTTCCTCAGGCTCAACAGGACCACTGACCCCCAGTGTATTCCCGAGCACAGAAGCTCCCCTACCATTCCCACTCTCCTGCTTGGAACTTTGTGTGGTGCCCGGCTGTCTTCAGGATCAAGTTCAGTTCCCTCACCTGACCCAACAGGCATTCTGCAACTGGCCCCGACCTGGCCTGGCTCCCACCCATCCCCACTACCAGTGCTGCGGGCAGGTAGATATTGTCTGTCTTGTTGTCTTTGCCCCAGCTGTTTCTTCCACACCCGTCACCCTCCCCACCCAGGACCTTCCTTCTGACGCTTTTAAGTCCATGTGGACATCCTGAATCTCTGAAGACTGCCTGAGCCCCAACCCCACCCAGCAGCAGAGCTCAGCAGAGCCTCAGTGTGTCCTTCCATGAGGTTCTTGTTGCAAATAAGCTCCTGCCCATGAGCAACTTGGGGGGACAGGCTGTGTGTACCTAGGCCTATATGACCAGAGACTGGCTAGATAAGTACCAGTAAGTGCCAGTCAGGTGGGACAGTGGCCAGAAGGGAAGGCTGTTACTCTGGCATAGCCTGTGTTCTGTGAGTGAAGGGTTAGCCCAGACAGCAGCGGGGGGCCTGCCCAGGGTGTGCCGAGGGTGAGCACGTGACCAACAGGGTTTCTTCCTCTCCATGTTCTCCTTCAGCGTCACAATCCCAAACACATCCTCACACTGATGCCACCAGCCATTTGGGGTTAACACAAGAGGAAAACCTCTTGGCCATCTCAGATCTGGGAGTTGCAGTAGCAACAAGATCCCAAACCAGAAACACGAGAGGGACCAGTGGAGGTCTGGGCAGGGACTGGTGGCCAAACCCTGAACAAAGCTTTAAGGAGAAGCCATGCACTTGGGGGGCGGGAAGGAGGGGATGGGTGTGCATGTAGGAGCCTCTCCTAGTCTTCTTTATGCTTCCAACATCCCGCACTCAATGTTTGTTTTGTTCAATAAAGGACGCCTTTACCCCCTCCCACCCACAAGAAGCATCTCCAAGGAAGGGAGTCGGGGCTGCTTTGCCATGTGCCTCTCCCATCTGGGGCTGACCAATGCACTTCTTGCTTCTCTCTGCCTCCATTTAGCAAAGCTGCTTCCAGGCAAAGTAGATGTTCAATAGACAGCTGCTGAAGGAACAGAGGCTTAGGTTGGTGCCTACACCCGCTGTGGGGGTTCACTCCTGCTCTGGCCATAGCCCCAAGCCCAGCCACACTCACTTGTACCCCACAAGGAGGGGACTCAAGAAACTGTGCCAGCCACACCTGGGGCCCACGTCCTCTCCAGCTCCCCCAACAGAGGAGCAAAGGAGACACGTACACGTAGCCGATGATGTCAGCATCTGGCTGCTGGTAGAATGCTTTGTCAGCGATCCTTGCGGGAAAGGTTAGGGGAAGGGGTTGGGTGGGCAGGGAGACAGATAGCACGATAGGCAGGCAGGCAGAGGGTTAAAGAGAAAAAGACACAGCATTAGTACCTCCTATTGGAGAAGGGTTAAGAAGTGCAGTTCTGGAAGGCTCAGCAACAGCCCGAAGAGAAGAAGGGATCTTGCACCCACCTAAACGCCATTTCTGAAACCCAGACCTGATCCTCTTACTCCTGGTCACAAACCTTCCACAACTCCCACCACCCTGGGATTCAGAACCTGTACTGTGACCCCACTGTATATACACTTTCCTGCCACTCCCTGACTCCTTGAGGCCCAAAACGCAATGTCCTTTTTTTCATACCTGGTCCCGAATACCCTCCCCCACCTCCTGCCTTTTATTTCCTGATGAACCCCTACTCATCCGCCAAAGCCCAGGTCCCCAGATGCCTAGGTCCTTCCATCACCCACATCCCTTGCTCCCATGGCCTTCCTGCAGAGAACCCTACTGCTATACTTGTGTTTCAACTGTGCATGTGATTCTCTCCTCTGAGTTCTTTGAAGATGCAGACTCAGGCCTACTCATCTATGTCTCCCCAGGGTCCATCCCTGAGTCTGGCATGCAGCAACTTCTTGAAGAGAAGTATGGCAGCATCCCAGAACCAGCTCTGCCCTTCCTGGTAGAATTGTACCCTGAAGGGGCACAGCCTCCAAGGCAGGGGCTGCTGGGTAGAATCTAGTCTGAGACCATTTCCAAGAAGGTGTTCTCTGGTGAGTATCCAGTGTCTTCGCCTGCCCAGCAGTCATCCCCCTCCTTCCAGGAAGGGCTCCCTGACTATTATTGGTAGGATCAGGCTGCTTCCACTTTAGTCTTGTGTTTTGGGTGAGACTGACCCACTGTACAACTCAAGGGATAGAACTATCACCAGGCTGGGCCCACTAGACAGCCTCTCCCCCTGGTGTATAGTCACTGGGTCTGGGATGGGCACATGCCAGTGAGGGTTGGCAAGGACTTCGGCTAGAGCTATTGGGAGCAAGATGCTATTTTTACTGAGGTTGCCAAGAGAAGAGAGCAGAAGACTGGAGCTGCTGGTGCCACCTTGCCCCCATGCCAGGGACAGCTTGGAGGAGAGCAGTGCTGATGGGCAGTAAAAATGAGTGCCCACTGATTCTGTTTGAGCCCTGAGCCCACTGACCCTGCAATCATACCCTGGCCTCTTCAGCTGTTACACAGAACTCTGACTTCCTTTATTCTTGGCCATGCTGGTTTGAAGCGGCACCACTTCTACAAGCAATCAAATTCAGTGTCCAGGCTGGATCTTGACTCCCAGCCAGGCTTATGCTGACATTGATGTGGCAACACAGGGCCACATCACTGAATACACAGCTGCACGGCACTGAACTTCAGGGCAATTTGGTGCTCTTGCCACCAAATCGCGCATCTTCCAGGCAGGCTCCCATATCCTAGCCTCTCGTATCCCCACAGCATCTCATGTCCTCCAGCCCCTCATGTCCTCACAGCCCCCAGGCCCCCTAGCTCCTCTCACCGGTTGTTGATCTTGTTCTTCTCAACTTGTTCACTCTGGTGCTGGTTCCATTCCTCCAGGTCCTTCTTGGCCTTTTCTCGCCACTCCTGTTCCATAACCTTTGAGGCAGCATCTGCAATGCCAACAGGAGGATAAATGGCAATTTCGAATAGGGACGTGAGGACACAGTTGCCCCGCCTGCTTCTCTTCTCAGCCCCAGCAGGCGGCCCCTGGGCCCACCTGGCCCAAATCCCTCATTAGGGCATTTCAGGGCCCAATATCCCTAAGGTCCCCATGTCCCACAGTGTCCCAAAGAGCCTTCTGCTGGGAGCCAAGGGTTTGGGGAAACCCCCAGTCCAGCTCCCAACTTCAGCCATGCCCTCACCCAGCTCCTGCAGCCGTTTCCTCTGCTCCTCTCTCCACTTGCGGATGCTCTCAGGTTCCTGCGTCAGCCTGTCAGCCCGGGCAATCGCAGCGTAGCCGTTGGTAGGACCGTTCGCCTCCTAGCACACAAACAGCACAATGGACCCTGCCCGTGCCCCACTGTCTCTGCTGCCTGAGCGCCAGGACACCCCCTCCTATCTGCATGCCTCAACACCACACACCCACACTCTCTGTGTCTGTACCCTGCCTTTGTACTTGCTGGGCCTTCTGCCAGCAGCTGTCCCCCATGTCACCCTGGACAAGTTACTCAGCCTCTCTGTACTAAAAATTGTACCCACCCCATGGAGTCGATATAAAGATGAACTGAGTTTTAAAATGTAAACAACTTTATTTTTTTTTAAATGGTATCTGTTTTTTTGTTTTTGTTTTTTTTTTTTTAGATTTCGTTATTTATTTATACAAGCACTGGGTATAGTCAGAAATGTGGGAGGGTGAGAGAATTCACCAGAGCCAGAGCGGAGAACAGAACAGGCAGACCCACGAAGTACACTGCTGAGGGGAGCAGCGGGCAGCAGGAGAGGTTTGCACACCATGTGGGACCCTCGCCCGGTGGGCGGGGATTGAACCGGCGCTGCAGAGGCTGCGGGCAGCTTCGCAACCCAGCGCTCAACCGCTGCGCCACCGGGGAGGCCCTGTTTTGTTTTGTTTTTATACAAGCACTGGTTACAGTAAGAAGCGCGGGAGGGTGAGAGAATTCACCAGAGCCAGAGCAGGGAGCAGAACAGGCAGAAGGACTGAAGTACACTGCTGAGGGGGACAGTGGGCACGGCAGGAGAGGTCTGCGCGCCATGTGGGACCCTCGCCAGTGGCTGGGAATAGAACCGGTGCTGCAGAGGCTGTGGGCAGCTTTGTAGCCCAGTGCTCAACTGCTGTGCCACCGGGGAGGCCCTAAAATGTAAACAACTTTGAATGTCTCCAAGCACAGGCTTTAATACATTACTGGTATTAAAGTCATTCTCTAAGAAAAAAGAGATGAAGCCCCTCTCTACTATGGTTTTATTTGCCGAGTCTCACTTATTTAGTCTGCAATGACCTCACTCTATAATGTGTTTCCTTATCCATTGTTGCCTCCATTAGAATGTCATATTTGTGACAGCCAAGACCTTGTCTGTCTTGTTCACTGATGTGTCCCCTTGGGCCCAGCTCAGCAACTGCACCTGGCAGATACTCAGTAACTATCTGCTGAGCAAACATCCTGAAATAGACAGGATGGCCACGGCTAAGACTGTGCAGAGATGGAGAACTTGGCCTCGACAGCCTCTGTTCAAATCCCACCGCTGCCATGTAAAAGTGGCTGGGGGCACACTGCTTACTTTTGCCAGACTTTAGCCTCCTCATCTGAAAATGGGAATAACAAAAATACCTCTAAGAGATGTTGCAAGGATGTGATGCAGTAATATGTGCCTGGCACGGAGTTGTGGCTCAATGAGTAGCAGGTGGAATTCTCATCATCATTGATATTATTACTTGTTATTCCTTTTTTACAGCATAGGAGACTGAGGTCAGAGAGATGCGATAACACAGTGATCAAACCAGGGCCAAAGTCCAGAGTCCAGGCCACTGACACTGGGAGGTGTGGGGTGGAGTCTGGAGCGGGGGGGGGGGGGGGGGGGGGGGGGGGGGTGGCGAGGAAGGGGGAAGGAGCTCTGCCTACTTCTCCATGCTCTCTACCAGGGTTGAAACTTAGAGCATTTTGGTGGAGAGCTTAGCCCAAAAAGGATGTGACTCTCTCTGGGATTGAAAAACCCAATCCAGCCCCAGCCGGTGCCACTCCCACTCTGGCTCTCCACCCCCTACACATTCCTGTCTGCACACATCCCCATCCCACACACCCTGGCTGCCCCACCCTCCACTCCCCTCCCTTCTCCAGCTGATGAAATTTTATTCCATCCCACAAGTCAACTAAGTCACCCACTCTGGGCTATTTCCCAGCCCCCAGACAGATCTGTGCCCCTTCCTCTCTGTGCTGTCTGGCACAATCTTCACCTTCAATCGTGTAAGTCTCCCTGCTGGACCACGAGCTCCTGGGGACAGAGCAGATCTAATCTGTGATCTCTGGGTCCCTGCCCTATCCTGTCCTTGCATGGTTCCCTGGACTCCTCCTTCAAGCACTCATCAGAACTATCATGAATACCAGTGCTTAGTATTTTCTCCCCATGGGACAGTGTGTGGCATGTCTACTGTCCAACGGCACCCTACTGTCCTTGGCATATAGCCAGAGCTTGGCAGCAGCATAATGGATATCCCTGGAGCCAGCATGTGCCAGTCCAGAGGAGATGCCCAGGAAATGTGAGCAGCCAGGGAGAAGGAGCAGGCAGAAGAACAACAGGGCTGGTCTCCAGCTGTCTGGGGAAAGAAAAAAGGGCAGGCCCAGGGTAGTACAGCCTTGCACCTCAGATCAGGCCCACCCTTGGGTGGGGCAACTGGGGCGCTGCCCTTAATTCCTCTTTCCTGCACAGAATTACACATCAATGAAGAGTCTCTCCAGGGCCCTAAACTGGAGAACACAAGTTAATCATGGATCTTGGGTAAGCTCCACCCCGGCCCTTTTGGGGAAAACCCTGTTATGATTAGGAAGGTTCCATCTTCAGCCACTGCACAGTTACTTTGTGTACATGAGTGTGTTCCGGTGCTATATATTTTTTTCATAGCACCTACTGCTATCTGAAATGTCTTATTTGTTTACATATATACTATCTATCTCCCTTACCCTAATTAAGTAAGCTCCCTGAGAAAAGATTGCCTGTCTCTAGAGTATCTAGAACAGGGAGGGCCTGGCCACCAGAGGATTTCTAGAACATGCATGTAAGTTAATACATGCTCAGACTTGGGGACAGGGATGAACAAGACAGCCCATCATCCTGCAGCTTGGGTGGGGGAATCCCTCCACAAAGAAGGATTATTACTGGGGTGCACAGTTTAATACAGGTCATGGAAAGAGGGGAGACATGGGAGGGCATGAGTTCTAGTGTGGGAGTTGGGTGGGAAGATATTTGAAAGGACATTTCAGAACAAGAGATGGCAGCATAAGGACCACGTGGGACCAGGGCCTCTGGGAAACTCAGTGCAGAGATGTCAGCAGGTCTGGGAGGAGATGGGGTAGGAGAGGTGGGCTGGAGAAGGGCCCTCTGGGCAGGAGTCTCCTCCCAGCAGTGTCCCTCAGCATCCACCCCCATAAAGCCTGTTCCCAAATTAAGGCTCTCATATTTTATAGTGTTTTAAAACTTGCAGAAAACTTGCAATTAAACGGTTCTCTTTGATCTTTACAAACCTACACTGGAACAGGTTTTATTATCTTTGTTTTACAGGTAGGGAAAGTCTAGTTCCAAAGTTGCAAGGTCACCCAGGAAATGGCAGAGCTGGGCTTCAAACTTAATCCCTGGGTGTGAACATACAGGCCACATAGTAGCCAATAGCAACCAAAGTCACTTCTGAATAGCATGATCTGTGCATCTTTTTGTCTCCCTGATAAATCTTCCTCCCCAAGATTAAAGAGTGTGTCCTCCTCCCCTCATCCCACCCTTCATCTCTCTCTCACACCTGCACACGTGCCCCTTCTACGCTCACTTCCTAGCTAGGTCAGAAATTTATTTTTTTTAAAGATTTATTTATTTATTTGTTTGTTTGTTTGTTTGTTTGTTTATTTATTTATTTATTTATACAAGCACTGGGTACAGTCAGAAGCGTGGGAGGGTGAGAGAATTCACCAGAGCCAGAGCAGGGAACAGAACAGCAGACTGACGAAATACACTGCTGAGGGGAGCAGTGGGCATGGCAGGAGAGGTCTGCGTGCCATGTGGGACCCTCGCCGGCGGCCGGGGATAGAACCAGCGCTGCAGAGGCTGCAGGCAGCTTCGCAGCCCAGTGCTCAGCCGCTGCGCCACCGGGGAGGCCCTAGGTCAGAAATTTATAACACGTTCCCCAGACTGCAGAGTGCTTTTCTCAACAACCCTGCGGGGCAGCAGGGTAGCGCCTCCAATCCCCATTTTACAAATAGGGACTCCAGCTCAGAGCACTTAAGTAAATAGTAATCCAAGGTCATCTAGCTGGGAAAAGCCAGAAATGAAGCCCAGGTCTTCTGATTCCAAACATATCCATTGCAGCCTGCCACAGCACCCCAGTTGGGTGTGAGAGCAGCCTGGAGGGAAGGCTCAGACCCACTGGTCTCGGGCCCTGGAGCATACACACAGCACATCCAGAGGAACCAGTTTTGTGTTACAAACACCTCATCATGTCCAGAGATGTCTGCACCTCAGGCCCAGGGTGCACAGCTGGCCACACTGGACAGTTCCTCCACTCTGCAGAGGGCTCCAGCCCCCAATGAACCCCAACCTCAGTGTCTTTCCCTTGCGAAGACTACCCACATCCCCATGGGCAGCCTAGAACCCCACTTCTAGCATCCCTTCCTTGTGGTGTTCTGAGTTCAGTCCCAGCTCTTCCCAACTGTGTGACCAGAGAGAGCTTTGAAACCTCTCTGTGCACCCTCCCTCTGGTCTATAGAGCAGGGATGGAGAGAGAATCCATGTTGTAGGGTATTGGGAGGATGAAATGAGCTAATGTGTGTAAGACTCTTGGGGGTACCTGACACATGGTAAGAACTCAGACTCTTAACTCTTCTACTGCCTCCAGATCCCATATCCTAGTACCACCGTGTACACCCTCACTTCTTTCCAGGTCTATACTCCATGAGAAGTGAGCTCTTCAAGCACAAACATGCACTAGATTTGCTTCTACATCCACTGCCCCAAGCACAGCACATGGCCCTCCGAGAATGTCGAGCTAATAGGGGAAGGAGCTATGGCCACGGGCCAAGCAACGCGGAGGGTGCAGGAACAGCCTGGGACATAGCGTCAGAGGGACTGTACTTATAGTCCCCTCCTGCCACTAGCTGGAAGTGTGACACTGCAGAAGTCCTTTTCCTGGGCTCCTGGGGCTCCATCACCTGTTAAATGGGAATAACATTCAACTTTCCACTGCGGGTGCCCACACAGGGTCCCCTGAAGCCTGTAGCACATGCACACACGTGAGGGGCAGCCAGGCTGGTGTGGCTGTGTTGCTCTTGGCAGGCCTGGTGCCTTCCACCCAAGAGCACAGTGGTCTTGCCGGCAGGCTGGCTCAGCTCCTCCAGCCACTGGATTTATTTTCCAGCCTCTGCCCCAGGGAGTGAGCAGCGGGTTATAGTGTGTGTGCTCCAGGACCAAGACCTTTGACCACTCAAGGGTCCCAGTGGAGAAATCGAGTCAGCAGCTGCCAGGGAGGCTCAGTGGTGGCTGCAGCAGCAATGCTCTGAGCTCCTCCAAGCTCTAGAGAGGGGAGGGGTCAGGAAAAGGCAGGGGGGTGCAGTCAGGGCCAGGCTTATCTCAGGCCATCTCCTGTGGGGCCCGCTGCAGGGGCATATGTTGTGACTCCAGGGATAGCCAGGAGAGGAGGCATATCCATCTTTGGGATTTTAGCTAAAGCTAAGCTGAGCTGTTGGTTTCTCTAAGTAGCTCAAAGAGGCTGATGGCAGCATGTGCAGGAAGGTAGAGCTTTTGTGCAGGGGAGGGAATCTACCAGAACCTTCTCTCCTTACACATGGCAGTGTCAGATGGAACTGGAATTGAGCAGGCTTACTCTTAAGCCTTCTTGGGGATTGTACTGGGAGCCCTTGGTGGTCCCCAAGCTAGCAGAAAGAGAAAAAAAGAGTAGCAAGAAAGTTGTGCCCAGGACCCTTATAAGTGTTGGGCATGCACCAACCACACCACACTCCATGCTCACGCCTGGCCAGTTCCGGCAACAAAAGGCACCAGGCCATGCATAGGTGATGTAGGTGATGTAGGAGGGTCTCATCTGAGACCCTCCCCACGGCCATCGGGATCCTAGGATGGGTAGGGATATGACATAATTTATAAATAAACATATCCAGAGTTATGAGTTATCAGTAGCAGTGAGTATAAAAGTTCCATGAGACTGGGGAAGAAGCCCAGGGTTCTTCAGATCCAAATACAAAGTTGAGCTAACAGGTAGAAAGGAAGAGGACCCCAGATCCTAACCTGTAGAAAGGAACATGGTCCTGCCCATAAGTCAGTGTTCTAAGTATTATAAAAACAACAGGCCCCAAGTCCCACCCAGATTTAATACCTAACCTAATTGCAATTTCAGCCTCTCCCCGCACCTTGCCTTCCCCTAAGGGAAGGTGGCTTTGCCTGATATAATTATCTTTTACAAATAACTTTGTTCCACTGTGTTCTGACTGCAATTTCCTTCCATATATACACCCCTCGTAGTGCTGTGTGCTAGATGGGCTGCTGCCTGCTTCCAAGAATCTGGCATTAAAACCAAAGAGATCGTTAGCTGTTTGCTTTGTTTTGTTTTTGTTTTTTGTTTTAACACATCTATATCTCCAGTACCAGGTCCAGTTTGGGTGGGAGGGGAACAAACCTCCTCTCCCCCAAATGGCATAAAGATTATTTTAGGCTGATTATTTTTAAGAAACAATGGAGAAACAACAGACACAGAAAGTTTTTCTTTACCTCTCCCCTTTTTTTTTTTTTTATATGTTTTTTTTTTATGTTTTTTTTATTTATTTATTTTATTTGTTTGTTTGTTTTGTTTATACATGCACTGGGTACAGACAGAAGCGCGGGAGGGTGAGAGAATTCACCAGAGCCAGAGTGGGGAGCAGAGCAGGCAGAAGGACCGAAGTACACTGCTGAGGGGAGCAGCGGGTGGCAGGAGAGGTCTGCGCACCATGTGGGATCCCCCTCCGGTGGCCGGGGAGCAGCCGGGGATCGAACCGGCGCCGCAGAGGCCGCAGGCAGCTTCGCAACCCAGCGCTCAACCGCTGCGCCACCGGGGAGGCCCTCTTTACCTCTCCCTTAACTGACTAAAATAATTTAGATTGAAGGCTGTTCCCAGAAAACAGTTATCATCAAAGATTTTCTACAAAGAATATTAAGCAAGGTGTGGTAGACTAGGCTAGGTGGTGGGGGGCAGGGAGAAAGAGAAGATAGCCAGGCTTTTTGTTCAAAGTCCTTTCTGTGGGGAAAGGCAAACATTTGTTTACCAAACATTTGCTTTCTCATCTTCCAGTAAATTTTCTTCTTCCCCTTTGCAGTCCCAGATCCCTACCCCCTTCTCCCTAGCTCAGGATGGTATATAAACCCCAACTGCCTCCCCTCAACTGTCAGGCAGCCTCATGTGTTTAGGGGGCTCTGAGACTTATTGTTTGTTTTTTTCTCCTGTTAATCTGTCTTTCATTATAATGGGTACCTCAGTCAAGAAACTAGAAAGAGAGGGGAAAAATGTTTGTCCCTCCTACAGATCAAAGTAAGTCCTGGTAACAGTTTGAGTCTCAAAGGCCTACCAAACAATACAAGAGTAAAGGCTGCTTATTTGGTGCTCTCAGGCCTAAGGAGACACAAAGTTACAATCCTAGAGACTGCTGACATAACTAATTTGCTGATAGTTGAGTAATTTTCCAGAAAGGACATTTGGCCAGCTTCCCCATGTAAGGTACCAGCCCATCCCTCTTACATAAGAAAGTATTGTTTATTCCACCCCAAGAATTCAGGAGCCAGCTCCTAGACAGGGTGGGGCCCAGCTAAGATCCTACAACTGCAGCCCCAGAGGTCAAGTCCGGGTGGGAATTAAGGCTCATCCATGAGGGCTTCCTCTAAGCATCTGGGGGTGGGGCTGAGAACTGCTGCATCTGTGAGATCCTGGCCATGCCATTCATGGCCTGAGTTCTTTCGGTATAAGGAATCTTACACCAATTTGTTTGAATAAGAGGGGAGAGGGTTAGGTGGATGTAAAGAGAAGCAGTCTTTAACTCAAAATAGCCTTATTGGGTGTTATTTTGGTTCACGTGTATGTATGTGTGGTCATGGGCATTTGAACCTGTGTGTGGTGTGGCTTGGGGGTGGGGGTGTGGGGGGGTGGAACGGTACAGGAGCACTATTAAGAATTTCAAAACAATCCAGTGAAAGTGAAAGCCCTTTACTGATCCTCCCCCACCCTCTACCCCAGGGCTAACCCTGTTAACAGTTGGTTCACATCCTTTCAGAATTTTGTGCGAGCATCTTTCTAAAATAAAAAACAGTACCATATTGTGTATATTATTCTACAAGCTGCTTTTCCCATGTAATATATTGTGGGCATCTTTTTATGTCATTACAGAAGCTCTGATTGTTCTTTTTAACAATGACACTTTTGCAATTTACCTACTCAGGCCCCTGATGCTGGACACGTAGGCTGTTTCCAGTGTGTTTGCATTATAAATAATCCTGTAAATAATCTGGTTTCTTTGTTCAGTGATCCCCTTGGGGAAAATTCTAAGTGGAATCTCTGGAATCTCTGGAGTCTGCCCAGTTCAAAGCTCTTATGTGCCAGATATTGTCACTCTGGTCAGGCTCCCCCAATGGCACACACTCATGCAGGGCCCTGTGTGTCCTTCAGCCCAGGCCATTTAGGTGGACTTTATCCACCTAAATGGACAGGTTACTTTATCTCTCCATCTGGAAACTGGACATGGGCAACATGAGGCCACACCCCACCAGCCCCCATCTCTAGTGACTTGTATTCTTTACCCCCTTCTCCTACATGGCAAAAATAAATAAATAAATTAAAAAGTCAACACTTTTCTCTATGTTCCCATCCTAATGCATTGGACATAAAGAGCAAAAGAACTTAGAGCCCTCACCACCGATAGGGGCAAATTACAAGATCCGAGTTGCTGGCTCCTTCCACTGCTAAGAGAGTCACGCTTACCTGAAACACATCTCCATTGACTGTGGTTCCCAGGTCCTCAGAACTAGCTAGAAAGAACAAGGAGATAGCATTATTTGAGAGTAAACACACATGGTCTTATATTAGCACACCCAGCCAACCCTTATATAGTTCTGCCTTGCTTGACAATGGGGAAATATTCTGAGACATGCATCACTAAGTGAGTTCATTGGTGTGCAAATGTCACAGAGTATAATTGCATACACCTAAGCTAGCCTTCTGACTCACCTAGGCTGTATGGTACAGCCTGTTGCAACCACCGTTGTATACATGGTCTGTCACTGCCGGAAAAATAGCGTGAAGTAACACATGCCTATATATGCCCATGTGTGTACCGACTCACGCACAGGTAGACATAAATAGCTTGGGTTCAACCCTTGACTGTTCTTCTCATAGCCACTATCACATTTGATTTGCAACAATTTTGTGATTAAGTTATTGATCCATTTTACACAATTTCAAACTGAGACTCAAAGAGGTTAACTAATTACCCCAGGTCACCCGCCAGCAGTAGCTCACCTACCTGAAATTAATGTGCCCTTGACCATGACTGGGAATGGTTGTCTCCACAGTTGTCTGTGAAGCCTGTGCCTGGTGAGCAGGCAGACAGATGCTGCAGAGTCAGGGCGGGTCTTCCAGGGATAGGAAGAGGGAACTGCCCACTCTGCTAGTCCCTGCAGGGCCTTGACTGCTCCACCTGGGAGAGCAGGAACCACAGCCCCTGCGAGGCAACGCCTGGCCTACATCTTTTCCCTCTGCCCCTCCCAAAGGAATTTTATTTTGCCGTCCATGATGACTCCTCCAGGTTCCTTTCCCTGACATCTGATAAGTCCCAAATTTATGTGGCTTCGGCTGCAACAGTGACCTTCAAAATCGCCCTCCACTCTCTGCCCTCTCCTCACCCCAGGCACATACAGCTACCTTGGTCTATCTGCACTACTAGTGGCAAGCACCTGGAGGCAGACCGGTGTCCTTTCTCTTTGCCACCATCTTCCCCAGAGCCATGCTGGTGCCTGCAACCAGTAAGAGCTCAGAGAGTGACTGTTGCATAAACAGATGGATAAATGTATATATACATATATTTTTTTAAATGAATGGGTGGATGACTTTTGTTCATTCTAGTTTCTCCCTGACTTCAGTTACTCTCAAACCAACTGCCAATGCTATTTTGTAAAGCATACACTTACCTATGTCACTTCTCTGATTTCAAAATATATGATGGAAACAAAAAGGAATCCATGGACTGGAGGGCCTACTCATGCCTTGGAGACATGGTAGGTGCTGTTCCCACTGCCTGGAAGGCTCTTCTATACATTTCCACACAGCTGTTCCTTCGCTCCCCTTGGCCTCCGCTAGAAGGTGAACCTGAGCCGAGTAGAGGCCCTTCCTGACCACCCCTGACATTCAGCCCTTGGACACCACTTTCTCCACTTCCCTCCTGCTCTGGCATTATCTTCTCAATGGCACTGGCCACAACCAAGAGGCCTGTGTGCGTGTGAGTGTGTAGGGAGAGGGGGAGTGAGGGGACGTTTATGATCTGTCTTCCCCACTTCAATGGCGCTTCTGTGAGTGTTCAGGCTTGTTTTGCCCACTGCTGGTCTCTAGTACCTAGAACAATGCCCGGTGCATGATAGGGGCTCTATAAATATTTGTCAAATGAGTACATCGAATTTCAGAACATAGCACCTGTGGGAGCTTCACAATCTGGTCCTATGAATGTTTCCTGCCTCACTTCCCACCAGGCTCTCCCACAAACCCTAAATTTTTATTTCCTCCTTCCCCAAACACCACACTCCACACCCCATTCCTTTCTTCCTGCTTTCCTCTTTGAATAACAATCTTTAGGATCCAGTCATTCTTGAAGGCCCAGTTCACATGTCACCTCCCCGGGGGAGCCCTCCCTTCATCCCTTACTTCCCCAGGTGCTCATCTCATCTCTGGAGACCCCAGAATATTGCACAGCAATCCCCACCCTCTTAGGCAATTCCTTGTGACTTCCAGAAGTCATACCCTCCCTTATCAAGTTCCATAGCCTAAGAACTTCTGCAAAGAAAGGGAGAGCAGTAAGTGGTGCTTGAATGGAAGTTGAACTGTTCTTCTGGGGCCCACTGTTGTCTGCAAGGCCTGTCTAAGAGTCACAGGCCACGCAAGATTACCACATAGCAATAAGCACCCTTTTATCAGGCCAATGGAGTTGCCAACAGCAGCCAGACTTCCAGCCTGGGTACTTAATCCCATGGAAATATTTCCCAGTTGCTCTAAGTATAATCAGCTTTGTTTTCAGTTAGTGATTGATTCTGACCAACTACGTCAGCTTGTCCTCTGTCATCCCTACTCATTCCAGGTGGGGTTTCTCCTGCCTGGGTGGCCTGGTCTTTAAATTAGGGCAGGGTTGATGGGGTAACAGTGGCAGTACCTTCTGCAAAGGGGCTTCCTTTTTGGGACTATCTCCTCTACTAGGTTATGTTACCAGGGCTCATTCACAATGATGCCAGTCTGTATGCTTGACCCCTGGAGTGGGAGTAGCAGCACCCACCATGGCAGTCTCAGACCTCAACTGCAGTACCCACCTTGGCCTTCAGAAAGCCTGTCTGCCCTGGTCTCCCAGTCCCATAAGCATTCCTCTGGAGATAAAGTTTCAGTCTTTTTGGAAATCCACACACACCCCCACACAGAATTACAAATATCTGTTCCCACAATGCTTTCTGATTAGCCTACAGCATGTTTATCATCATGTGTCCACAGAGGCCTGTAGAACAGGAGCAGAGTAGATATGAGTCCCGGGGTAACCCTGAGGGTGTTGCTTCCCTCAGATCCCTGACCCCCGCTGCAACAGGGGCAGACAGGGTCCAGAACATTCCTGGGAGCTTAATGAGGCCCAGAAGGGGAAATGGGCTTGTCAGGAAATGACTGGACAAGTCATGGGCAGAGCTAGACCTGGCGCTCAGAAATCTGGGTGTGAAAATGTAAACCTCCCTGCCCTACCCCAGTCTGAAGAATGGAAACAAAGTATCTATTGCCCAAGCAGTTTCAGCTCCAGCCCCAGAGGAGAGACTGAATATGGCTCAGGCTCAGGCCTGCACCAGACGCCTCTTTCCCAGGGGGTAACTGGGAGCCCAACAAAGGGCATTCAGCAGGCCCAGCAACTAAGAAACAAGACTCAGTGGTATTGCCTGGTATCTGCTGCAGGACACTCAGCTTCCCCCCAGTTTCCAGCAAGCCAAGGCACATTTTCTCCACCCCATCCAGGCTTCTGGACTCATTACCTGATCAGGGAAGGATTACTTGCTCAGCTCCAGGTATGTCTAGGAGGGTCAGATCAGTTTCATCCTATCTGGCCACTATGGAGTGCTACCCCAATACCTTCCTGCTCTCAGTGCCCCATTTAGGAGGACAGCTGAGCATGTGCAACTTCAATAGGAGAGACCCGTGTCCCTCCTCCTTTCCCAGACACTTCAGGTCTGGGGCAGATCTGTGCCCCACCCCTGCCAGAGAGGCACCGTCCCATCCAAGCTGTAAGTCCCTGGCACTCACTGTCCTGGGAGCCAACACACCTGCTCAACTCCCAGACAACTCCAGCTGTCCTCAGCATGAGTTCTACCTGTCCTCTCTCAGGGGGTTTCTAACATGGGCTCTTAGCAGGGCCACCCCCAAGCCAATCCTGATTGGAAAGCTGCTGGTTTCAAGGAAGAAATGTGGACAAATGAGAACTGGTGTATGATGGTGGGCAGGGATGTCTTAGGAATTCCTCGGGATGTGTAAGGGTCAGTGTTGAGGCATTAAGAGCTGCTACTTCAAGGGATCTCCACTGCTGGCTTAGGTTGAATAGCAAAAGTCTCCCCTCCTCATCCCTACATACCATGCCCTCCCAGGGTGACTGCCACAGCATTTGAAAGTGCAGACAGCTCAGAATCTGGAGGCTTGAGATAAAGTCCCAGGTCTGTCATACACAGTTGTGTGCTTTGGGGGAAGATATTCAGTCTCTCTGGACTCCTGGTCTTACATGTTACAAAAGCCTTGTGATACATTTCATATCACAAGAGAGATGCTTCCTATATTCCTCATATATTTCATATCACAAGAGAGATGCTTCCTATATTCCTCAAACCACGGGAACAGTCTTAGTCATTTCTGTCCCAGTGGGCCTGGCAGACAGTAGGGGCTCAGTAAATATCGAATGAATATAAACAAGACTCTGAGTGCCTTACTTATAAATATCTTTTTTTTAAATGAAGCTACCATTTATTCCAATGGGCTCATAAACCTCCATCAAAGTGAAAACATTAACAGGAAACAAGGGCTATTTTGGATCTATCCGTGAAGGTGATGGCTACTTTTTTACTAAATATTTTAGGAAATTTGTTCTTGTAAGCCAGAACCAGAACAATAACGTAGTATAAGTATGCTGTAGCAGGGATCAGGCTCTGAACCCCAAGTCTGAAACTAACCACAATAGGCCTGGACCACCTCTGGAAAACCATTAAGACCTGGAGCAGGGGAGGGCAGGACCACATCTGACTGGAGTCCTTTGTGCCCCTGTCCCCACTCCATGTCTCACTCAGAGCCAGGCATAGATTCTGACGGAAACCGGCTTAAATAAAGCCTCACTCTTGGGCCTCCCCGGTGGCGCAGCGGTTGAGCGCTGGGTTGCGAAGCTGCCCGCGGCCTCTGCGGCGCCGGTTCGATCCTCGGCTGCTCCCCGGCCACCAGAGGAGGGTCCCACATGGCGTGCAGACCTCTCCTGCCGCCCGCTGCTCCCCTCAGCAGTGTACTTCGGTCCTTCTGCCTGCTCTGCTCCCCGCTCTGGCTCTGGTGAATTCTCTCACCCTCCCGCGCTTCTGACTGTACCCAGTGCATGTATAAACAAAACAAACAAACAAACCAGCAAAACAAATAAATAAAGCATGCCTCTATAAAAAAAAAAAAAAAAAAAAAAAAAAAAAAGCCTCACTCTGCTACTTACTAGTTTTGTCAGTGGTGTACCTTTTGAGCCTTGGATTTGCCATTTCTGTAATGGTTTAATAACGTATTTGAAATGATTAAACATAAATAATGGGTCTAGCCCCGGCACTGCAGGATGGCCGGTGGTCCCTGGAGTAGGTTTGTGAGTTCTTGGAGCACCCAGAGCCCCCTGATTTTCCAGCTGTAAGAGAGAGCTAAGCCTGAGGGGTTCTGAGATCTGGGGATCTGCCCACACCTACAGGACTTAGCCAGGAGCCTGGGACAGCTGGGAGGTTGAGGCGGGACTGGCAGAGCCAAGCAGTGGTGGAACTGGCCTGGGGATGAAATGTCAGGGCGGATTCCTGTCTCGCGAACCAGCAGACCCAGGCAAGGCCTCAGACATTCCCCCAGGTGCCCCTCACATGCACACACAGCCCCAGAGCTGTCCCCGGCTGGCCACAGCGGGCCCTCTCCACTCTACCATGCCAGCCCGGGAACCCGGGCGCGGGCCCCCAGCCCCCCAGTTCCCACTCCACAGCGCTGACTCACCCCCACTCCCGGGTCCCGGCTGCGCCAGGGCCGCCTGGCTGCCGGCAGGTGCCCCGAAGCCCTCGTCATTCTCTATGCCGGCGATCTCACTCTCCTGCTGGGCCAGGAAGGCAGCCGCCGGGTCCTCCTCGGCCGCCTCGGGGGCCCCGCTCTCCGACGACGAGAAGAAGCCAAAGTCATCAGCCATTTTCCCCGCGTCTCTGCTGAAGCGTCCGCCTGGCGCTCGGCTCCGGCCCGCGCGTGCCCGGCGTTGCGCCCGGCGGCCGCGACACTGTCACCCGAGCCGCCGGGGGGAGCCGGCCTCGGCGGGGACAGGCGCGGCGCGGCGGCCCGGCACTTCCTCTCCGCCACCCGGCCCGGCTCGCCTGTCACTGCGGCTGCAGGCGGGAGGAGCCGGGGCGGGAATGCGGTGATGTCACCGGCCGGGGGGGCGCAGGACGGCCGGAGGTCGCCTCGCGGCGGCCACAGGAGGGCGGCACAGGACGGCCGCGCAGCCCGGGGGTCCGAGGCCGGCCGGGGGCCCCGCGCCCACCAGCCGCGCTCACTCCGGACACCCGGCAAG